CGTCCTTTTCTTACATTATGAAATTCAATCGCAACTGCAATCAAATTTTACGTTCAGCTATGCTTGTTTATTCCTATCTTCTATCTCAGATCTAGAATAAATTATCTTTGGCTAGGATTTTCCCCAAATCATCTTATTAAATTGATTTAACAAAAAGGGCTTGAAACTTTTTGGTCAAATAATTTGGCGTCGTCTGTGGGGATTTCCTAGCCAAGGTTTTAGTTTCCTCTATATCTAAACTCAGTTCTAGTTCTACTTCCTGTTCGTTGTAACTTCACCCTTTCCACCTGTGTGCTTGCGGTACGGTTTATGTTTCCGTGTCTCCACGCACTCAGGAATGGATCGGATTTGGACTTGAACTCGAATATCCCAACGAGCGAAGTAAGTCATCAACCCACAAGGTGCCCAGGTTTGACTAACACCGAAGCTAAGTACGAGGCTAAGATCGGATCTGAAGCTAGCACTCTTAGTTCATTGCCAATTAGATCAAAGGGACTTTCCAGACCCAAGTAGCGCAGACGGCGAAACAACCAAGCCAAAAACCCACAAGATGTCATCCGAGTTCAGTGAATATTAGCTTAACCAATGATAGCAGCTACGAAACATAGCCAAAGAAGGGAATGTGGTCGCTCCCTTCCACCCATCAACCAATCAGCCGAGGTAATAAACAATTTTGTTTGGCTTTAACTTGCTATCTCTTTTCAGAATGGGAAAGGGACAGATCATACTCACCGACACGCGAACAGGGAATAAACGCCATCAAAATAGCACACCAAGAAAATTCTCCACGCCATACCGTCCTACAAGCAATAGTCGAGCGAAACCCCTCCCCCCTACCCTCAATAAGTTGGTACTCAACGGCATAAAGGAAATGTCTGTATAGACTGTGACTGGGTCACCAGCCCGGAAAACATAAAAATCTCTCCAACATACAGATAGAACACATGTGCGTGAAATTCACCCACGCACTCGCCAAAGCCACTATACGATGACACAACTAACCAAAATTCAATCTCGTACACACATCGAGACATCCCGAAGCTTGAGCGAGACATTCATCGCCCGGCCTAACAACTACCTCTCCAGGCCAAGTGATGAAGGGACTAGATGGACTGGGACTCCTCGACTGTATGCACAGACCATACAACAACATATAGTATTCTCCAATAAATGAGTAAGCAGAGCAACATACGGAATTCTTACGCAACCCCACCAAGGTTACACATCACGCCAACACAAGTCCAAATTCGACCTCGCTCGAATTAACAGTCTAAATTTGACCTCGTTCGAATTAACAAGATAAATTCGACTTCGCTCGAATTAACAAGATAAATTCGACTTCGCTCGAATTAATAAGATAAATTCGACCTCGCTCGAATTAACAGTCTAAATTGGACCTCGTTTGAATTAACAAGATAAATTCGACCTCGTTTGAATTAACAAGATAAATTCAACCTCTCTCGAATTAACAAGATAAATTTGACCTTGCTCGAATTAACAGTCTAAATTTGACCTCGTCCAAATTAACAAGATGAATTCGACTTCGCTCGAGTTAACAGTCTAAATTCGACCTCGTTCGAATTAACAAGATAAATTTGACTTCACTCAAATTAACAAGATAAATGTGACCTCGCTCGAATTAACAGCTAGATTCGACCTCGTTCGAATTAACAAGATAAATTCGACCTCGTTTGAATTAACAAGATAAATTCGACCTCGCTCGAATTAACAGTATAAATTCGACTTCGTTTGAATTAACATGATAAATTTGACCTCACTCGAATCAACAAGCCTAATTTCGACCTCGCTCGAATTAACTACAGAAAGTCAAGGATTTATTGCAAGAAGATCTTAAAAATTCGAAATGAAAAGAGAAGGAAAGGCCAAAGACATACAACCAAGGACAAATCGACTGTTCCATTCAAAGGAAAAATAGCGCCTTACAAAGGGCCAAAAGGAGGCCCCCACCAACTAACTAAGTACAGAAAAACTAAATACGGGAGGAAGAATTAAGTACAAAAGCTTCACTCAGCATTATCCCCATCCACGCCGTCATCTCTCTCCCCGCTTGGTTCAGCGGCTTCACCTCCACCATCACCCTCTCCATAGAAATGTTCATCATCAGAGGTAAGCCCGTCCTCGGCCTCGACACCTCCACCAGCCTCTGGCTTCACGGGATCGTAGCCGCAGGCAAGCTGGGCCTCACGTTCTTTGATACGAGCTTCTTCGAAAACGGCTTCAAGAATACTCCTCGCTGCCAACAAACCCTTCAAAATATCCCGCTCAGCCTTAGCGTGGATCCACATCTCGTACAAAGGGCGAGGAACGACAACAGAGGCGGACGTAGGAGGAGTCGAAGCCAACAATTGTGCTTTCTCAAGCTCGAGAACAGCAATTTGATCGCCCAGGGTCGAAACTCTCTCTCAAGCCCGCCAACTCTCTCATCAAGTCGCGCCTCCCTCAGAACGGCCTTTTCCATCTCAGTTGCACGTTCATACTTGAGAATGCGAAGAGAATCTTCTAGTGCCGCAGCCCTCGCCGAGGCCGCTACTCGGGCTCCCTCAACCTTCTCTATCTCGGTCGCTTTCCTTTCCAACTCGGCCACTTTCTCCGCTAATTCAATACTTAAACCAGTGACTCTAGTAGCACTCTGCTCAAGCTCTGCCCGTAGGGCCACCACCTTTGCCTGAAGATCGACACACTCAGTTGCAACACCCTTGCCCACCTCGAGGTCATCTTCTTTAGCCCTAAGCAGCCCCTTAAGTTTGCTGCATCTGCCAATAGACCACAGCAGGTCCTCGTCCTTCCGCTCCAACTCCTCCCTAAGGGACTGAGGATTGCCGCCCGCCCTGAGTCGTGCATGCATCTCGCGACATTTGTCACGAAATCGGTGGTACTTTGAAACTATTTTCTGAAAACCGGCAGCCCGCCTCTCCTCACGTCAGATACTCTCAGTCTCCAAAATGAAAGTCTAAGAAAGAAAAGAAAACAGAAAGAGAAAATCAGCGAGGGTAGAAGACGTAAAAAAAAAAAGCAATAGACTCACCCTCAAAGCCATTCCCGCTACGCCCCGTGATAGGCCAGCATCGTTGATCTCCTGAAGGGCCCTGCTTTCAGTAGCGGAACAAAGAAGAGAAAATTAGGGCACCATAATCACCGTGTCCTCCAACAAATTGCACACTTGAGCAATCTCGATCACGCGGGAGGAATCATCCGTTCCCGCCTCCACGCGAGTAAACCCCGCCTCAAACATACTTATGTCCTCGGGGTCAATATCTGAACCGGATTCATAGTCATCTCTAACTACGCCCTTTTCCCTCTCGCTGGCCGAAGAGGGAGCACGCTCCTGTTGCGAAGTCGATGGACCACTCGGAACGATCGCAGCGGCCTCCGAGCTCCATCTCCCCTCCAAGGGAGCTATCTCCACGACCGAAAGAGGCACGGTTTCCATGCCCAAACTAGTACTACCGCCCGGTTTGGACACCGCCAACATGGGTTCACTCCTCGAAGGCCCCCCAGTCCTAGTCACTCCATCAGCCACTGTCATACGCCTCTTTAAAGGAGCCTCCTCGTCTTCGCCCTCTGACGACTCGTCCACCAAATAAACTGCGGAAGCCAGTGTCCCCGCGAGGGAAGCAGCATCTGAGTGACCAAGCCCGCGCAAAGCTGTAGTTTGTGAAACAGCAGCGGCCTGAGCAGGCTCACTTGTAGCCACGACGAGTACGGGCTCGGTAGAGATATCCAACTGGAGAAAAGCAGGCATAGGAGCCCTCACACTCCTTGAGGCCCTCTGACCTATAAACATAGAGATAATAAGATAGAAAATGATGGTATAAAAGTCATCGATTAAAGCTAAAGGTGACTCTCGGCCACAGGTCTACGCCCAAACCTCTCATTGAAGTGCGGCCACTCGTGAATCCCCATAGTTTGGGGCAAACCTGACTCACCCAGTCGTGAATATCAGCAACGGGTAACGGAGGCTCCCGCTCGGCTGCAAAAGTAGAAAGAGAACGATCAGATTACCCCAAAATAAGCCGGTCATTTTAGAAGGGAAACACTTACAAGAAAAGTTCCACTCCTCGGGGAATCTGCTGGGGTTCGATACCACGTGCGCTGTCTTCACGTAGAACAAATTTTCCCAAAAACGACGATTAGTTTTATCGTCCATCTTCACCACCAACCCCTTGGTCCCACGATGGCGCATATGAATTATCGTGCCCCTGTGAAAACTTGGGGCGAAGAAGTGAAGCACATGGCATAGAGAAATACCACGGCTGGATAGCTCCACGTATTTGATAAGCATGAGGAAAAACTTGTATATGTATGGAGAGAGCTGAGGCGGTCATACGTTGTAAAAGTGGCAAAAATCTTCCACCAAGAAAGGAAGAGGAAGCGTGTAGCCGACGACAAATGGGTACGCGTAAAATGCGCAGTACCCCGGGCGATGTACTTGTATTACATCACTACCAGTGGGAACGATTTCAAGATGGGCCAGGATTCGCCACTTAGTCCTAAATGCAGTAAACGCTGCCGCATCCATTGTAGAAATGACAGGTTCAGGTTCATCCTCAGGTAGGTTTTTGAAGTCTGACCTAGCCTTCCCAAAGTGTGGGATTATCTCGTCCATGGTGGGGAAGTTTTCATCTTCCACCATGGCCGCCCCTTCCTCATGAGGAGGTGCATCTGCAGCCACGTCACAGGGTCGGATGAAGCACTGGCCATTTTTTCTGATTGTGTGCAAAAAAGAAATACAAAGATGAAGGAGAGAACAGTAGCAAAAGATACTGAAGGGGGAAAGAAAGCACAGAAGCTGGAAACTCGAAGAAGAAAAGAACTCAGGCTTCAAAGGCTTTAAAAATACAACAATTCAAATGAGGAGTGTCTATCCCTATTTATAAGAATATAGGCACCCCAATCGAGAAAGCCAAAGCGTCGCCTCATTATTTTCGAAATGGAAAAAGCGAGGGAAATGATGTAACGTATGGGGAACGTGCGCCATAATGACGCATGATGAAACAATGTCATTTCAAACTGATGTGACAGTCAGGTACGGCTCTTGAAGCGTCACGTCGCCATTTCTCCAAAGGCAACCCCGACGGGTGGAGGGACTAACTGTATAGGTCAAAATCTGAACAAAAGAATTCTACTTAAGGAAGAACGACTAAGAGTCAACCAAGCCGAGGTCACATGTAGGAAGCAATATACCAGCGAGTGATCCAGCTACGGTCGAGGTCGAGCACGCAATTCGGCAGGAACGACTAGTTCTACACTTAGACATTTTAGAGGAATATTCTACGGGATATTCCAAGAACTTAGGTACTCTGGTTAAGGACCGCTGAGTAAGGAAAGTGTTTGGTATAAATACCATGAGAGAGGAACACAGAAAAGGGGGGATATGCATCTCTCTAAAGGTAAAGATAATCCTGGATCTCGAATTCCTCGCTGAAAAAGGAGAAAAGGTCTTAGAATCTCGGTATTCAACTATAATTCAACTTTATCAAACATACGGAGGTGGTCTTGTTTAAGAATGGTGATTCTTCTAATTTATGTATTCTTCATTATCATTCGATATTATTGGAGTCATCATCCTTTTCTTACATTATGAAATTCAATCGCAACTGCAATCAAATTTTATGTTCAACTATGCTTGTTCATTCCTATCTTCTATCTCAGATCTAGAATAAATTATCTTTGGCTAGGATTTGCCCCAAATCTTCTTATTAAATTGATTTTAAAAAAGGGCTTGAAACTTTTTGATCAAACACTGACCAAGATAAAAAATTAAAAGAACTGGCACATGTTATAAATCCAGTGAATGTGGATGTCCCTTTAGTAACTTCTTTAGTAATTCATGTACCACATGAATGAACCCATTAATTGTTGTAACTTAAGGAGACCTTTGTAACTATTAATAGTGCATTTTTGGCTCATGGATTATATACTTGAAATAAGAAGAAAAGTTTCCTCCTACTCTCTACATCTCTTATATATTCCTGTCTTATTTTCTTTTGGTGCTTTAGTTTATTATTACAATATTTATTTGATAACACGTTATCGGCACGAGTCTCTAACTACAGGTGTTGAGCTAATTTTCTTTCTGACGTAGTCTAGCCGTATTTGAAGCTAGTGGCTTCGGCATAAGAAATTCAATTTATAAGAGATTTATAAGCATACAATGAGGTACATTGTTGACCTCAAGTTATGTTTATTTTGGTTTTGCTGGCAAGATACAATTCTATCATTAGATAAATTAGGTACACGTAATACAATTTAAATTAATCTTTAATCATATATTTAGTTCTAAAAGCATGACTATAAAGTAACATTAAAGAAGATGGTATACCGATGGAATAGAATCATTGTACACGGCCACGATTCTTTGGTCTATTCACTTCTAATTGAATTTCATGATAGTTTAATATATGCATGTAGTAAATTACATTCAATAATGGTTATGGGTTTCTCAGGTAGTGCTTGTATTTTCTTTCATGAAAAAAAAAATGACTGAAATGGGTTAATTTATCTCGTAGGTCTTATACATAAGTTGCACCGATTTTTATAGCATTGTAGAAAGAAGAATCCTTAAATAACTTAGCTATTCTCTGACTCTAAAGACATGTTAACTCCATAAATAAAAGTCACCAGAATGTACATCTTTAATTAAGAGCATTTAAGTTAGAAACCGTTGTTCACATGAATGTTTTGACAAATACATTGGTCTATGATAAAAGACTTTACACGTGACTAAAATTCCCATTAATCTATGCAAATGCTAGCAATTAATTGCATCTTGATGGTCTTTTATTTTATCAAATTGATCTTCTTGGTTTGCAAAAGGGGTCAGTGGTTAATGCTAAGAAAGTCTTAAAGGCTACCATCAACTTCTTTGGTTGGTGAATCAATTGTGGTTGGAAGGGATAATGAAATAGAGAAGATAATAAATCTGCTCTTGTCTAATCAATGAAGATGCAAACATCAAGGGAAGTAGTGTAATTCTTGTTGTGGGATTAGGTGGAATTGGCAAAACAGCTCTTGCTCAAGTTGTTTTCAATGAACAACAAGGGACCCAGTGTAACCCCACAAGAAGTTGTTTTCAATGATGAGAGGGTGAAACATCATTTCAATTTGAGGGCATGGGTGTGCGTCTCTGAAAATTATGATGCTTTGAGGATAACAATACCATTACTTGAGGAAGTTGGCGCACCAGGGATATGTATAAGTGATAACTACAATATGCTGCAAATTATATAGTGAATTAAGCCTCAGAAATAAGAAGTTTCTTATAATCTTGGAAGATGTCAGTAATGAGCAACACACTGATTGGGACATGTTCAGGAGCTCTCTTAGGCAAGGAGCAATAGGAAGTATGATCCTTGTGACTACATGCAGCGAAAAGGTGACGTTGATTATGGGCAGTGAACCATGTCATTACTTATCACCAGTAGAGGATGAAGATTGTTGGTGTTTGTTTGAAAAGCGTGCATTTGGTTTGATAGATCCTATTGTGTATTCCAAACTTCACGGTATTTGGAAACACATAGTGAAGAAGTGCAAAGGCTTGCCACTGGTCGTTAAGACAGTGGCAGTTCTTTTGCACTTGAAGCTAGATGTAGAAGAATGGGAGGAGGTTTTGGCTAGTGACATATGGAGGTTTTGACGGGTTGCATCGCTTCCAAATGACATTCTCCCGGCTCTATGATTGAGTTAAAATCTTCAAATGTTGTTGTCAGGCTGTGCATATCTTATTAAATTGCCCGAAGGATTGGGTAAACTTATTAACTTACTGCAGCGTGACATTAGAGATACCACAAGACTAATTAAGGAAAATGCCATTCAAAATAATTAAGCTGAAGGATCTAATATATCTGAGCAACGATTTGAGGATTCAAGATTTGTGCAATCTTCGTGGGGACTTACATATTGAGGACTAGATAATGTCGTTAATGGAAGGGATGCAGCGAGTGCAAATCTGAAAGATAAGAAGCAAATTGAAAATCTTGTAATGGAATGGAGTAGTGATTCTGATCATGTTGAAGATTCACTTGGTGTGGGGGACATACTTGACAAGTTACAGCCCAATATAGGCCTAAAATCATATCAGTTTGGCTCCCTAATTGGGTTGGAGATCATTCATTTGTGAATTTAGAGACCTTACATTTTGAGAGCTGCAACAACTGCTTCTCCTTTCGTCTACTAGCCTCTGATAATTGCGACTGCCCTGGAGGCAGCTTTAACCACTGAAAATTGCGATCGCTGCCTGATATTCCACTAGGGATGTTTACAAGTCCTCAAAGTTATAGGCTGCAAAATCTTCAAACAATCTCAGTCCATTTGCGCAGACTCACTATCTCGAATTGTGACAACCTTAAGTTGCTGCCCACACGGATGAACAACTCCCTTCAATCTCTAGCATTTTTTAACTTGAATAATTATCAAGAAATTGTGAGATCTCCCGAAGGAGGCTTGCCATCTAACCTTCAGGTTCTTTACATAATTGGTTGCAACAAGCTCATGAATGGGGACTGCAGAGTCTCACACTTCCAAGATATTGTCGGATTCAGATTTCTGATATGGAATCATTCCCGGATGATTCTATTTTTCCTCCAAGTCTTGAGATTCTCACCCTCGGAAAATCTTCCAAATTTACGGACACTAAACTACAAGGGACTTCAAAATACATCTAACCATTTGGAACTGCCCTCGGCTACAGTCACTGCCTGAAGAAGGTCTTCCCTCCTCACTGTCTTTACTCGATATTGATGGATGTGAATTGCTGAATCAATGTTTAGAGAGCGAGAGCAGAAGATAAAGCACATTTCCTGTTTCTTTAGATTTAAGACTCATACGCGGTTGTGATTGAGGTAGTAAGTGCTCCATTTTCTACATCAACTTGAAAAAATGTTTTCTCATTCTTATTTTGATGTGTTATACTGTTAAATGGCCAGTTACAACATTCTTACATCTATATTCTTTAACCTACAGCTTTTGATCCAATACTATGATCAAGGTACACATTTATGATTAAGGTACTAGGTACTTTATTCTGAAGCCATGAAAGTGTGTCTAGCCGATGAAAACAATTTCCTTTTTCCTCTCAACATTTCATCCGGATAAAATGGATGTGGTCATAGACAACTAGAAAGATTTTTCATTCCTTTTATCCCTTGCGATTCAGGATATTCTGATAGTTAACTGCTGCTTGATGACAGAAGTGATCAATTTCTACCGAAGCTACATATATTAGTTCTTGACCTATCGATTAATTACGAATCTTTATTATTCTGATCCGTTAATTTATTGAATAAATCTTAACTAAATCTGTGTTTCTTTTTCTGTTGTAGGATGTAAAGGTTGTTCTAATGATATGTATAGGCTTCTGGCTTGAGCTGAAGAAATAGCAGACTATTTTTGCTCCTCGGCCACTAATCACTATCCTTAATGTCATAGAAGGGTTCATGTTCAAGGTCCAAAAGGATGATAGGATGATTTTATATAGAAAAAGATAAGGTATTTTTATCTTGACATTTCGTGTGTTCTTGAGGTAATTCGTGATCTTGCTGAAGCATATTATCGTTATACCAGATTTTTGCCTGGACTAAACTATTATTCCAGGATTTACCACAAGTCAAGAATTTGTTGAAGAGAAAAAAAGGAACCAACTTCTTTTTTTCTTTTTTTTTGGTTTACATAATCATCTAAATTCAACTAGATTTAGGGACTTATTCATATAATAATGTTATTTTGTGGCTTGAATTATTTCCTTGTCTTTTTAGAAAACCCATAATCCCTATAGTCCTAATAGATTTGGGAAAGGAAAACATATAGTACTTGTCAAATTGGGAAACTTTTCTCTTATATGTTTGGGACCTTTTGGGATCTATATATAGGGGTTGTAGTTGGGGATCCTAGAAATTGTACTGTGTTTTTCTTCTCATTTATAGTGGAAAACTCTCTCTACTTTTGCCCCGAGGATTAGGCTTAGCCGAACCTCGTTAAATCCTTGTGCTGATTTTTCTTCTCTATTTGCTTTGTGTGTGATTGTGTGCTAATTAACCCACGATTTCTGCAACAATTGGTATCAGAGCAAAGTTCGAGTTTCTACATATAATCTAGGGTTAAGATGTCTTCATCATCTTTAACAAAGTACGAAGTAGAGAAATTTGACGGGGTTCTAGTTTCAGTCTATGGAAGATTAGGGTGAAATCGTCCTTGGTGTTACAAGGGTTATGGAACGCAACTGATGGGGATTTTCCTGAAGAGATGAAAGAGAAAGAGAAGGCAGACCTGAAGGAGAGGGCCAAACGCACACGCAAGTATACGCGGTCTCAACTAAAAAATTGACTAAAAGTCGGATGTCGAACCCACGAGAACTTGTGATTAACTATTAACTAAATTAGACTATCCTAATTATCTAAACAAGAACTAAACCTAGAAGTATTTGATTCTAAACTAATTAAAATAAATAAAAACAAATAATGAACATCGAACAGAGGAAGAGCGGATTTTTATGTTATCAATATGATGAAAATGATCTAGGGTTATGGGCTATCTAACAATCATATTGTATTCTTTAATTGAATTGACTAATTAATTTATCTAATTTATTGGTTGACATGGTTAATATTGCTCATAAGAATCTGTCGAGTTCTTACTCACATACAAGCAAACTTAACGCCTATATGTCTATGGAATTAGAACTAACAAGAACGCATATATAATTCTTGTAAATCAACCAAGCAAGGCAATTAGGTATATATGTCTATCCTAACTGCGAATCCATTCCCCGATGCCCAGGTTCAAGAACTTGCTCTGCTCAATCCTATATGCAATCTAGAATTCCCACTTTCGAGTTCAATTCAAGATTCGTAGATACTATTCAATTGGTGATTAAGCAATCAAATAATTAAGTGCAAGATTGAATAAAAAAACCAATATGATAAACTAAGAAATCAAAATCAATATCCGAATAACAATAGTCATGAAAGAACCACAACCCTAGAACGAGAAGTTTAGCTCCACATAGAAATGGTAGCAAAACAACAAATCATACAAAGAAACATAAAAATTAATAAGTTTAGCGGAAGAAAAGATGGAATCTGATGAATTCCGGCCTCCACGGCGGTTCCTTGCTCTCCCCAGGTCAAATGTATGTTCAATATTGGTCTTGTTATTACACTGTATTTGTAAAATAAATTCTGGAAATATAAATGAATATAAACAGTAATGAATATAAACAGAAATGACATAAACCAATTCGAGCCCACTGAATTCACAGTGTTTCCTTAAGGAATTTAATCCCCTCATAGTACCCAAGGTTATGGATTATTTCCTCCCAGGATAGAACGAATTACACACTGGTGTAGTGGTACTTCAAACCCCAGTGTTTCAGCGAACACAAAGTTCGGTAGCAAATCACACTTACTTTTTGCTTTGTTTTGATGCTAAAAGTATGCAGAAGAAGGAGAGGAAACTCAAAAAATTGTAGTTAAAATTCTGAGTAGAATAGTGTTGTATTTATAGCCAAAGTTGGGTCTCTTCAGAATGGTTGTTTATGCAAAACGCCCACAACATAAATGTCATTACATAAATGGCCATTTACTCAATAATAAAGAGGGAAAATAAAGAGGGAAAATTGAAGAGGGTAGTTACTTTTCTGTTACCAAAACAGAAAAACGGATTGGATTTAATATTAATATTTAATATTAATATTTTGTTATTAAAACAAATATTTAATAACATTTCTGTTAATATTTTACTATTAACAAATAAATTTGGTCCAAAAAGTTAATCAATCAATCGATCATTTGACCAAATCCGAATCCGAATCCGAATCCGAAGCCGAAGCCGAAGCCG